TGGATGCCCCATCCCTGGAAACATTCCAGGTCAGGTTGGACGGGGCTCTGAGCAACCTGATCTAGTTGAAGATGTCCCTGCCCATGGCAGGGGGGTTGGACTAGATGACTTTTAAAGGTCCCTTCCAACCCAAACTATTCTGTGATTTTATGAACTGAAACAAATATTTTACTGGGTTTATACGGTAATTTGCAGGCTTGGGTTAACAGTCGGATGCTTATGCCCAGGTTTTTGCTAGAACAGCTTACCAATTAAAGTTCAGCCTTTGCTTGGGAAGGCCTGGAATTGGATTGCTTAAGTATCAATCAGTACTGGTACATGCCAAGAGAACTATTAAAGCAAGTTACCACAGGTTTTATTCAAAGTAATTCTGACTTACTATTTTTGATCATTGACTTCCAGGGAAAACATTCATAATATAAGAGCAATTGGGAAATGATTAAAGAAAACTTACAATTATTCCATTCCCCTTTCCCTGCCTTTATTTGGAACATAGAAGTATAAGGTACTGTAAAACTGAGTAGTACTGGAAAACCATCATGCTTTTCATATGCCAAAGTTGAATATCCAGAGATGTGATGATAAATGCAAAAAAAAAGTTGAAGACATGTATTACCCTTTCTATACTTGAAATACTTTTCTAATGGAAATTGGTAAAAAGTTTCCCAGGCTAGGATATCCCCGTGGTTTCTCGTGCTTCCCTATGAAGCAGAGGTTATCTAGCACAGCTGATAGCAGGTATAGTAAACAGAGCGTTTTGATGGCCCTACTTCATTCCCAGATTATGGAAAACATTTTTATGAAGAGTGAAATTCCTTTAGGTTTTGGGGTTATTTCCTTCCTGTGACTTCTTCCTTCTTGTTGTTGCTCATTTCTTTAAAAAAAATTTTTATTCACAGCTCTGATGGGTCTTAATAAATTAACATCAAACTACATTTGTGGTGAGGTGCATTTCAAAAATTGCCTATGGTGATTTAAGTTCTTCGGTAACCATACAATGTTTTTTTTTTTTTTTTTTTTTTTTTTTTTTAATTTTGAATGTTCGTTTAGCTTACGGTGCAATTGGTTATGCCTTTCCATATTGTAAAAAGCATCCAAATGGACATATTTCCTCCTTCAGACTGCCATGAATTTCATGAATGTATGTGTGTGTGGTTTTTCATTGTTTTATTTTTTTCCCCCCCTATTTCTAGATTATTCATTATCATGGTGTAGTGAAGTCCATGTTAGGCCTTGGTCAGTTATCTACTGTAATTACTCAGGTCAATGGAGTGCTTGCAAACAGGTACTATAAGCATCTAATACAATGTTTATTTGAGTAATATGAAGCTTTTGTGTTACATCTATGTCTCAGTAGCCATTTTTGCGCATTATCAAGCATTTGAGGCTTACCAAGCATATCCAATTAGCAATGTGAAGATAGAAAACTTTAAGTGCTTGTCTATAAATTAATTTCAGGGCTACCCAAAATGTTAGTACTTCTTGTCTGCACTGTGTACAGTGTTGATATGTGCTTTAATTTGTTAAATAGAATCTTTCATTCATTGACTTGCATGTTACTTGTTACATAGCTATTCTGTAGCCTAATGAGATAAATGGATTGGAAGATGGTAATTTTTAAAATGTGCCATAGAAGTTAAATACACTACTTGGAAATTGAATTTGTGGTATCCTGTTGTACAGCTATTATTTTTTATCAATGCATATCCTTTGGTTTTTCTGAATTTTATTAGAAGCAAGCTTACCTTGCTTCTTTTCAAGTAAGAGAAGTTTTATATAAAGAATATTTGCTAATATAATGTAGAACTAACATACTGAGGGTGGGGGGAGGAAAAAAAAATTGAGTTCAGCACAAGCTTTTATTGCCTTTGTTTTCTTTTAATAGGTCTGAATGGATTTCTGAATTGAACACTTACAGAGTGGAAGCAGCCTGGAAGCTGTCACGATGGGATCTACTGGAAAATTATTTGGCTTCAGGTAAGTTATCATGATATCAAAATACGAACACTTCCTTGCATTTCTGAAAAAAGTGTATGTTTTAGTCTAATCATCTTGAATCAAGGGGCAGCTATTGTAATTTTTTAGTCTTGTAAATGTATTTGATTGCAAACTGTATAGTCTTTGAGTAGAAATTTCAAGCAAGTGTAAGGCCAAATTTCTTCTGGGTTTGTTTAGGGGAGTGGATTGTGGGGTGGAATTATACGGTATTTCTAAAATTCAATTAATTAGTTCCGAGAAAAATTTATTTTTCCAGTAGTATGTTAAGACAAATTAGCATGTTCAGATTAAGCTGCTTAAAGAAACAGAGTTTGAGAGGCTTTTTTTTCCTCCCCAAAGATGTGAAGTCCACTACTTGGAGCGTCAGACTAGGACATTTATTATTATCAGCCAAGAAGAAAAATGAAGCAGCTTTTTATGAAACACTCAAGGTTGTTCGAGCAGAACAGATTGTACCACTTTCAGCGGCGAGCTTTGAAAGAGGATCCTATCAGCGAGGATACGAACACATTATCAGGTTTCTGATTTTCATTTCACTATTTTCAAATCCAGAAATCACATAATCAAGTATGCAGCAGCAAGAATTTTCCATTTCCGCAATAAATGGTACTGTTGTGCATTTTCTGTCACCTCTCTTTTTTTTTTTTTTTTTTAAATACTCACCCAACTGGAAACCTTTTCCCAGTTAATTGGGAATTTATATTTATCCCCCATGAAAAATATTCACAATAAAACTGTTGGGTATAGTCTTTCAAAATCAGCAAGCAAGTTTATGTAAACATCAGGTAATAAAAATCAACAATTTAATTCCATGCCTAAAGTAGTGCATATAGGCCAGTAACTCCATTAACTTAACTCCATTAACTTAAGAGCATTGCTTTTCATCTGTGTGGTGGCCTAAAAGCACTCCCTTCTTTGTAGTAAAAGTTGAAACCCCATCCCTTTCAGTAGTTTTACTTTTTCTTTTCTAACAACTTTTGAAGTTGGCTGGAGTAGACTAACAAGTGAGTAGCCTTTTTGAATGAAAAAGGCTTAATACTTCCCCTGCACTGTAAATGCATCCTTATGGCAAGATATTGCATAAAACTAGACAGTTGAAGTATATATTTCTTAATTACTTCTTAATTCTATTTTGTGTTGGTAATTTTTTCAGTGTTGTTTTATTTAGGAAATGGAGTTTGAGTGTTGAGAAAGAAGTGTTTCAAAATAGTTAGTAGCCCAGATCAATGGCTAAATCTTAGATTTAGCCGTTGATCTGGGCTACTTGGAGGCCTTCAGTCGCTGTTTCTCTGTCAGGTATACCCACTACACTTAGACTCTGCCAATGAGAACTTAAGCTTTTACAAGCTCTCAGCTTTGCAGCTTTACAGTGACAGCTAATAATAACGGCATTTTTAAATAAATGGACTAACTCTGTTGTAAAGGAGGTGTTTAAGTAACAGTATATTGCCTCTAAAATAGTATTTGATTAAAATACCAGACTTTTTGAAGAATTATTGCTAGAAGTAATGCATAGAAATACTCTTTCTAAAGATTGACTTCCTCTCCAAGTGATCTTCATTGTCTCTGTGTTCAGCAGTTTGGCAAAGGAATAGTGAGAAAATAACTAATCAGTTTACAAATCCTTGATTTTATGTGTTTGGTTTTGCTGCATTTTTGCTTTTAAAAGAAGTCCTACTATTTGAAATTACTTACATGGCCAGCTTTTAGAAAGAAAATGGCAAAAGGTGTGTAAAACTTGCATATATCTCAAACAGGAACCAATTTTCAACAATTTTTTTTCCTTTATTTTGCTAACACAGATTGCATATGCTGTGTGAGTTAGAACATAGTATTGGACCAATGTTTCAGCAACCAGATGGTGACCACGGTAGAGATTCCCTGAATTGGTGTGCTCGTATTGAAATGACCCAAAACTCTTACAGAGCAAAAGAACCCATTTTAGCACTGAGAAGGGCTTTGCTTAGTCTCAGTAAAAGGTAAGAACATGACTATTTCTTGTCTGTGTTGTATTCTCAGTAATATTCTGGTTTTACATATGCGTGTTAGAAGAGAGAAGATAAAACTCTGTGGAAATTTATACTGTAGACAAAAGCAGTCCTCTCCAATATTATGTACCTTCGAAATAGAAGGGAAAAGTGGTGTCTATAGGAAAGATAAGGGAGAAACAGGGGGAAAGAGTACTTGTTTCCAGACCTAAATGGAAAAAAGGTGAAACAGATGTATTACAAATAATTTTAAATGATTGTTATGTAGTATAAAGTTTATTAAGAAATTTTGTTTGTGTTTCAACACATTGTGGTACTTACTTCAGATTGTAAAGCAGCATTCATGACTGAAATTTTTCATTTTCTGCAAAAATATCTCTGCAGCCAGGATTACAGTGAGCTTGTTGGACAGTGTTGGCTCCAGAGTGCTAGAGTTGCGAGAAAAGCTGGTCATCACCAGACTGCATATAATGCTCTTCTGAATGCTGGGGAATCTACACTCTCAGAACTTTATATAGAAAGAGCAAAGTGGCTCTGGTCCAAGGTAAAGAAAATAAAAATGGAATTTACTTTCTTACATGCAAGAAAATAATCTTTAGGTTTTTCAAGAAAAAAAGGCACACAATCAGTGTACGTAAAACAAAATACGTCAGCTGGGACTATCAACACATTCTGATTGCAGTTGAGCCATGGGAAGTTTTTACCTCCAGCTGCTAGTCGGCCCTTTTCTGTATCCATTGATTTTTCTGGCAGCTATGTATAAAACTGGTGGATTACCTGCCTCTGTCAAAGCAGCCCTGGCAAATTTAAATTATCTTAATAGTAGACCTTTCCTTAATTTGTATCCTTTTAACTAATAGAGGTAGGCAGCAAACATGGGAGCAGTTATTGTGGTAAACCTAAAGGCACAACAATGCTGAGTTAACAAGGGTATATAAGAAGCATTTGAAGTCAGTAATATTCAGTTGCCACAGCCAGAATGATCTAGAACACACTCCGGGACATAGCTTTGCCTTAATAACAACTGTGAGATGGAAGTTTTGCATCTCTCTTATTCAAAGTATATAAAATGTTTTCCTCTTTCACTTAGGGTGAAGTTCATCAAGCACTCATTGTTCTCCAGAAGGGGGTTGAGTTATGTTTCCCTGAAAATAAAGCACCGTGTAATACCAAAAATCAGCTCATCCATGGTCGGGCAATGCTGCTAGTGGGCAGATTTATGGAAGAAACTGCTAACTTTGAAAGCAATGCAGTTATGAAAAAGTATAAGGTAATCTGATATACTAGTGTTAACAAGACAGTAGTTTTGAATAATAATAATAATAATAATAGTAATAAATATATCCCTTAAGTAAGCTATCATTATGCTCCTGATGATGTCAACCAAGGATAGCATCAATGGGATTAAATGGTGTATCAATGTGTAGGAGGGAAGTAGTTCTTCTCGTAAAGATTTAACTATCTGAATTAGCTTTAATATAACACGTCAATACAGGGAAGTCTACAGTTCCCAACAGTGGGAGCTAAGAATACCTAATAGAAGTCTTTTAAAATAAAAAACAAATTACAGGAGGATGGCTTTTTTCTTACGCAAGCACAAATTAAAATTCCTCACTAAAACGTGGGCTACTCTAAAGAGACAGTGAGATAACTTGATGACACATTGTGCTACTCTTCAATGTTACTTCTCTCTCTGGTAGCGACTTATAATTGTGCTTTAAATATGCTTCCAATCTCTGAAGAACCAGGAAAAGAGGCAAATGGCATGTTTTTCTTCAACAACACAGCACTACACTGCTTCATCTTGCTATGCCAGTGAAATACTGTTTTGGCATTGATTAATACTGCCTACTAAACCAGTAGTGGATGCAGATCTTTATGGTTCCTTAAAAGTAGTATGTTTCCTATCCAAGTTTTGGCATTTGATACTGTTAATACTTACTGCTGTCTTACTAATTAAAATACTTCTGTAACAGTCATTTAGAGAAAAATCTAATGGATGTATCAAATCAAATGAAGATTGGAATAATGGACACTAATGAAATTTTGATGGATTATATTAAAATACTAATGCTTAGAATTCTCTACTGCCTAAATATTGGCACTGGAAACAAAACAGTGTTATTAGAGAATGAATGTGCCACTTGCTAAGTTATTTCTTTTCTAAGTCACAATTTTTTGTTTTTCTTTTAAACATCATGCTTTTAGAAGGAAAACAGAAATGTGAAAATCATCCTGCTGTTTCACTTTTCAAAAACCTAAAAGAAACCCAATATTGAGTTTATCAGGATCAGGAACTTGATTATAATATTTTGAATGAAACTATAATCTTTCCTAGTTGAGGAATCGTATATCATCCTGTCTTAAATTATCTTGCTGTCTCCAAATCCAAAAGGTATTTTAAGAACAGACTTCTGGTTTGTACAGGCATTTATCTTGGGGCGAAATAACAATTTGGAGTTACAAAGTTACAATTAATACTTTTTTGCATGTACTTTGCACAAACGTAACTAATACAAGATTCTTGTTTCTTGAGAATTTTTTTTTTTTTAATTTTAAATTTAGCATCCTCTCAAAAGTAATTATCTCTTTTTGATTTTGTTGCAGGATGTTACGATTTTCTTGCCAGAATGGGAAGATGGACATTTTTATCTTGCTAAATATTATGATAAATTAATGCCAATGGTAACTGACAACAAGATGGAAAAACAAGGAGATCTGATTAGATACATAGTTCATCATTTTGGGAGGTTAGACCCTAGGGAAACTTTGCTTAGTTTCTATAGAAGGATGACTATTATACTGAAAAAAACATTTTATAGGAGTATGTTGTCTTTCAACAATTCAAATTTTTATGCAGTATTGTAAAACAAAATACTGCATGCTTCCTTTTGTTTTCATAACTAATTAATTTTACTTCTGCCTTCTGACTAAGCAATTGTTGTCTGCCTTGTGTAAGACAGTTAATCATCTGCAGTTTTGATTAATAAAAACAAAACCTTTGTATATTAGTAAGCTTTTAGTTGTTGCAGACGCATTAAAATGCTGAACATAAATTTCTACAGTCCAGAATGGAATGTGAAACAATTAAGGATGTAAAGTTTGTAATGCTTCTAATATATATCATTAACATGCTGTGATTTAAACATGTAATCACAGGTCTCTACAGTATGGAAACCAATTCATCTATCAGTCAATGCCAAGAATGCTGTCTTTATGGCTGGACTTTGGAGCAAAAGCATATGAATGTGATAAAGGTAGAACATTTTTTCCCAGTACATACTTCCTGTGTCATACTTTTGAATATATAATTGAAAGAGCAGTGAAGTATATTTACAGTTCTTTGTTTAGACTTATTGCCTGAGATTATATGGAAACAAGAAAGTACTATTTTTCTTTTAAATTGCAGGAGAGTATTAATAATTTTAATTAAACCCTCCAGAACTTTTTAAAAATATATAATGAGATAGCATTGTTCTTCAGGTAACTTAAGTTGATAAACAGATTTAGGGAAAATCCTTGCATGTCACCTGTCACCTCTTCTAAGTTGCCTCATGAGTAATGAGTAGCGGTTTTGTATACACTTGCTACAGTAAAGCGTGAGGCTGTGGGCCTTTTTTCCAATTTGTCTTGGTTCCAGTTGTTGAAGGAATTTTACGGAACTTTAAATGGGGGGAAGAAAAAAATCCTGCGGGCAGCATCGAGGCATGTGAAACTACTACCATAGATGCATTTTTGGGTGGGAGATGTTTGTACAAATGGAAATTGCAAACGTCACCTGCAGGTCTGGAGTGAAGCAGATAGTACTGGCTCCTTCATCTTGACCTGGTTCTATACGCTTAGGTCAACTGAATTTGGCTGCAGGCACATCAGATGCTGCTTTCTCCATTGGTGATGTGCTACTCGTGCTGCGTCCTCCGGTGCAGCGGTGGAGATAGCAGCAGATGTGCTAATTTCATCCCTTGTAAAGACTTTCTTCATTTCCCCTCCACTAAAGAACATTAGAATCCTTTTACCGGGGAAATACATGGAGTGTTTTTGGTTTTGCTCTACGCCATTGCATCACTTTAGAGGAGTAAGAGATGTTTTATTTTAAGAGTGTAAGGAGAGCTTTTCTGCTGTTGTCTGTTCCATGTTCCTGTTGTCTGTGCTTGTTTATTTCCCATTATTCTGGTTAGTTAAATAGCATATGTATTAAGTCATTGTATGCTATGTTGAAAAGAACTTTACAGTAGGAGCTTTTACTTTTCCTTGAGTTTTTTTGGCTTATGAAAATTACCAACAAAATATGTTTTTGATTTAAATGACTTTACATTTCTGATGGGAGAAAAAAGGAACATAATCTTGTCCTCTTGTGTTTTTCAGCTAGTCGTTCAGAACGTGTTCAAATGAAAAATGATTTAGCTAAAATAAACAAGGTGATTACAGAGCACACGAATCACCTGGCACCTTACCAGTTTCTGACAGCTTTTTCTCAGTTAATCTCCCGAATCTGCCATTCTCATGATGAAGTCTTCGCAGTTCTGATGGTGATTGTTGCTAAAGTGTTTTTAGCCTATCCACAGCAAGCAATGTGGATGATGACTGCTGTGTCCAAGGTACCTTGATAAATATAGCTACACCTTTATTAAGTTTGTAAAACTGTTTTCATCAGAGAGAAATGTGAATATAACCTATTTTACTTTAAGATGATAAGAAGGAATTGAGAGTTTCAGTTGCTGTGATACAGTGTTGTGGAACAGGGTATCAATGCTATCGCTGCAAAAGATTTTATTGCAGTCTAAAGTTCAGGTATTACAGTTTAAGTGTTCCAAATTAGAATGCTAACATGCATCGTGACTTGTATGATGTACTAGGAAAGGAAATTGAATAACAAATAGCTGATGAATTGGGTAGTTACAGACAATAGATTTTGTTGGTTTTAGTAATTGTAATAGTACTTCCAGTTTTAGAATCAAATAATTAACTCTGTGCCTTGATTAAAATGAGAGAGATACACTACTTAGTCCTTATACTTACCTGGTAGTAAGGTCATTCCAAAGCAAATTGGAAAGCATGGTGCATACTATTTCTTTAAGGCTGGTGAAATAACATTCAGGATACACTGGCATATTCTTGAATATTGGCCTTTATGTTGTGGGACTCCCAAGAATGGTTTCAGAAAGTAATCACCCACCCACCCACACCCCCAACAACCGTACAGCTTTAGTACTTGTTCAGTTGGAGAACATCCTTCTCCAGCTATTAAATACAACAAGCAATAAGTAGAGAAAATAATATATTAATTACTGTGGGGTTTTCTTTTTTTTTAGGATTCTTTAATTGATTTGACTGTTGTTTAATAAATTTTAACTTTCCTCTTTTTTCAGTCCTCTTACCCTACGCGTGTCAATAGATGTAAGGAAATTCTAAACAAAGCTATTCACATGAAGGAATCTTTAGGAAAATTTATTGGAGATGCAACACGCCTTACAGATAAGCTATTAGAACTGTGCAACAAACCGGTACTTACAAAAATAAACAGATTAATGCATGTAGGATTATTATTCAAGATTATTCAAAAACGTTATATAAAAGCTTCTGATAGCTTTCATTAGCCAATTCATTACATTACTGCAATTTAACAGAAACTACATTAACTTGCAAAAGACTTTTTTTTTTTTACTTCATAAAAATATTCAAAAAAGTAGAAAATAGCTCTAAATTGAGCACATTGCAAAATATTTCAGTACATAATAGTACATTTCACAGTGCATGGGCTTTACATTGTTTTGTGCTTTCATGTATGATTCTTGCCCAGTAACTTTCATGGAGTTTTACTATAAAAATAGACTGGTTGTGTTTTCATGAACAAATGAACTTGATAATAAAGGTAAAACTAAATAAATTCTTTCATTATTCTGTATTTACATTCAGAGTGAAAAATACATGTGCCATAAAGGCCAGATATATTTACTTTCGACCACTCCCATTTCCTTTTAAATGTAATTTGCTATTTTTCTTACTACCATAAGCATTTATTATTCTATTCATTAGTTAATGTGAAATAGCAGTAATATTTTCAGTGTTTATTGTTAACTTTGGAACAACTTTTTTTTTTTTCCTTCAAGGTTGATGGAAACAGCTCAACATTAAGCATGAATATTCATTTCAAAACACTCAAGAGATTAGTAGAAGAGCACACGTTTAGTGAAATTCTCATTCCCTTACAATCTGTAATGATACCAACTCTTCCTTCAATTCCTGGTACACATGCTAACCATGACCCTTTTCCTGGATGCTGGGCCTACATTGCAGGCTTTGATGATACGGTAAGCCTCTGGCTGGCACCTCATTTTAAACTTCCTGTTAAACAAATGTAGCTGCAAATACATCTTAGTTCCCTAGAAATGGAGGAGTTGAGTAGGAAACTTCATAATTACTTTCGTGAAAACCGAGTGGCTTCTGTCATAACAGCCTGAGACAGATATGGCCTCTTGGTACTTAGATAAAGTTTTGGCCTGAGGTTAATAGGATGTGGCTCCATGGAAGTGCTAACGTGATCGGTTGCAGTGGTTTATTACAGTTAGACACTTTATTTTGTATGATATGATACAGATGTTAATAAAGAACTTAATTTTTTCTTTAGGTGGAAATTCTTGCCTCACTTCAAAAGCCAAAAAAGATCACCTTAAAAGGTTCAGATGGGAAATCTTACATTATGATGTGTAAGCCAAAAGATGATCTAAGAAAAGACTGTCGGCTCATGGAATTCAACTCCCTTATTAATAAGGTTTGATGAGTTAGACAATCAGGTGCATTACACTTACTGACCAGAACAAAATGCTGAACTATCTAACAAAAAAACAACTTACCTTGAGATAAAGCTTACTGGAAGAAAAGTAAACTGTTGCAAAATATCTTGTTTCAGTGGAAATCAATAGCAATTGATAATGTATAACTTCTTACGGACTTGTGAAAACAGTAACATTTTGCCAAAATAATTGCTTATTCCAGCAAAAACATATAGGAAAGGTTATTTACAGTAAATAAATAACTGCAAACTTTCTGCTGTCATGCTTCATATTTCTTATTCAGTATTTTCTACTATTTTTAATGAGAAATAGGTAAATTCATCTTTTCATACTGAAAGTGTTGCCATACTTCTTATTTTAATTATATTTTGCTTCTCAGCAATATGCTTAAGGTTAAGGTACTGTGTTTTCCATGAGGTTAAAGCAAATGATAGCATCTCTGAAACACTAAAACATTTATTTCAAATACTGCTTTTAAGGGATTTAAGCCACGTACAAGTTATGCAGTTTGACTATTTTATAGCAAAATTCTCTTTTTTAATTTACTTTGGAACAGATGATGTTGCCATACTTCTTATTTTAATTATATTTTGCTTCTCAGCAATATGCTTAAGGTTAAGGTACTGTGTTTTCCATGAGGTTAAAGCAAATGATAGCATCTCTGAAACACTAAAACATTTATTTCAAATACTGCTTTTAAGGGATTTAAGCCACGTACAAGTTATGCAGTTTGACTATTTTATAGCAAAATTCTCTTTTTTAATTTACTTTGGAGAACAGATGGACCCTTTGCTTGCATTTGACCTACTGCAGACAGTGAAGCTTAGAATTTTAAATTCTACATCATGTGATTGGAAAATAGATATAGATAGAATGGTTAATGTTATTGATACATTTTGATCCTATCTGTTAATCTCATTTTTCTTTTGTGAATAGTGCTTAAGAAAAGATGCGGAGTCACGTAGGCGAGAACTCCATATTCGAACCTACGCAGTTATTCCATTAAACGATGAATGTGGCATAATTGAATGGGTGAACAATACTGCTGGTTTAAGAAATATCCTGATAAAACTTTATAAGGAGAAAGGTAAAGAAATATATTAGACTATAGTGATTTTTTTTTTTTTAAAGGGCTTGTATCTTTATTCGTAAATGAGACAAACAGCAAGGATCAGACTAAATTCTAGGAAGATGCAGTCACGTGTATTTTTAACTATCTGCAATATATTATTATTCATATGTGTGGTAGACTTTTGCTCTTAAATGGAAGGGAATTGGTACTTGCAATAAACAAGTTCCTTACAAGAACTGATAACACAATCATCTTAATACATTCTTTTCTACAATGATGTAAATCATTTCAGCCGCAGTGCCAGCAGCATGGGAATGTATGTGCATCACTGAATAATAGAAAAGACTGGACTTTTTCTTCAGATTTGATCTGTTGTTTTTCATTTCTGTTACATTTGTGTGAGATAATTAAGATAATCTATAATTGAGTCAAGGTTGAGGGTACAGCAACTTTCCAGGGAAAAGATCAGATTTCTTTTGAATTTCTTGTTAACAAAGCAACTTTCTGGTCAGTGCAGTAAAATTTTGGGGGAAGATTTCACACATTATCTGGCTGTATGCAGACATCTGGGAGTTTGGAACTCCAAACATCTCAGCTGAATATAATGAATGGCTTTGTGAGGGTGGGGTTTTTTGTGTATGTGTTTTCCCCCCACTCCACCCCATGGCAATCGGTAAAACTCTGGTGGCTTGTTTGCCAGGTCTTCTCTTTCAGTTAACATTATGATTTTTTAATTTACTTTCCAGTACCCCACCACCACCATGTTCTATGGGTTATTTTCCATTTGCTTATTTATTTCAACTTTATGGAGATGTTTATCTTCTCTAAAATACCATATTATAGTACCTATAAGGCTTTATATTTGGGGATTTCTTTTGCCTAATTGAGAAGGTCTATCACAGGTATCTATATGACTGGAAAAGAATTGCGTCAGCATATGCTTCCAAAGTCAGCACCTTTGTCTGAAAAGCTGAAAATGTTCAAAGAAGTCCTTCTGCCTCGTCATCCTCCTCTCTTTCATGAATGGTTTCTTAGAACATTTCCTGATCCTACTTCATGGTGAGTGACTGGGACTGGGCTAGCTCAGGAATATCTACTTTGTGTATTTCACTAAACATTAATGATACTACTGAATAAAGACAGATAACCCAAGGCAGTGACATAGACATATCTGACTCTTATTTCTGCAGGTACAATAGTAGGTCAGCCTATTGTCGTTCTGTTGCAGTTATGTCAATGGTAGGTTACATACTTGGCCTAGGAGACCGTCATGGTGAAAACATCCTGTTTGATTCGTTGACTGGTGAATGTGTGCATGTGGATTTCAACTGCCTTTTCAATAAGGTGAGAAATGCCACTTGCTGAACTTGCTCTTTATTTTATAAATTACTACTTGTTCTGGTTTTTTCCACTTTTTTTACTTTAACATATCTGTTGTGTTATCTCTCTCACTTTGTTTCTTATTTATACCAAACAAACAGTCTGGGATATGTAAAGAGTATGTGATTGTTCTGTATACTGTATTAATGAAAGCCAGCTTTTTGATTTAGCCAGTATCAGATGAGCTGATGTGGATACACTGAAATAGCCCAAATTGTAGAGTGTTTGTATTTTGTGACTCTCCTCTCTCCACTACCACCCTCCAAACAAAGCTGTAATTACTACATTCAGAATTCTGCTGCTGTGAAGAGTTTCTTTGTTTTTTCTCACATAAATTCAGCACAAAAATTCCAATGGTTCTGTAAAAATAAACAGCAGAAATTGTGGCCAGAGTGGGATTTGGAGTTTTGGTGTTTCTGTTGAAAGATGCTTTTGGTGTGGAATACGTGCCCTTTTTAATTCAGATAAGTGAGGCAGAGGTACTGTTAGTTTAGTTCTCCTGCTTTCTTTTTAGTAAGCCTAAATTGTCCTACATAACCCTTAATTAAAAAAATGTTTTTAAGCTAACTTGCATATTATAAAAGAAAAGTTAGCATTTTGCATGAAACTACAGAGCAGCAATATATATTTAGTACAAAATTTTATACCCTGTATTAGTGTAATAGAACAGGGAAAAAGAGGTTGTTTGGACATTGGTGTCCTTTATTCACTGTAATTTCCCTTTAACAGCTGAGAAGAACTGTGATCTGAGCAAACATCTCTTGTCAGCTGGGAAACTGCCACTGACATTGATGGTGAAAAAAACTAAAAATGATGCAAATGTTACCCTTTACTTTAATAATGCTTAAAATGCTTAGGGCGTACTCTTTTTTTTTTTTTTTTTTTTCTTTTTTCTTTATCAATGTAAAGGGAGAAACTTTTGAAGTTCCGGAAATCGTTCCTTTTCGTCTCACTCACAACATGGTTAATGGAATGGGTCCAATGGGAACAGAAGGTCTCTTCCGAAGAGCTTGTGAAGTCACAATGAGGCTTATGCGTGATCAAAGGGAGCCTCTAATGAGGTACGGCAACTGGTTTTGCTACAAACTCTGAAAAAGCTGTCTGTAGTCTAAACATCTGAAACAGTAGCTGCTGCAGTTTCAGCATGTGCCTGTCATGCAGCTCGATCTTGCTATGACATGCATTGAAATATAAAACAATATAAATATTCAGCGCTAACTTTAGACTCCTGTCAGTGTTCTTGTTTTGAAAATTAAATGTATTATATGTATCTTATCCTTTTATTTTTAATTTATTTAGTGTCTTAAAGACTTTTCTCCATGATCCTCTTGTGGAATGGAGTAAACCTGTTAAAGGGAATACAAAAGCACAGGTGAACGAAACTGGAGAAGTTGTCAACGAAAAGGTTAGTTGAAAACAAGCATAGCATAAGGTATTCAAATGTCAAATGTCCATTATGGTTGCAAGTTACATATTTTCTAATTGAAACCTTAACTTTCTTGTTTTTTCTTTCATTTAAAAATTCCTGTGGTTGTTTCTTCTTGATTGTCTCTGTGTTCATAGTTTTTATCTGTAAAGAGACTATTTTTATTGATAGAAAATGTAATTTATCTACTAAAGAACCAAACAAAATAGAGCCTGTGATTCTCTTATTAGTGTTACTAAATCAAGGACAACATCAACAGAAGCAATAGGATAGGTGAGGCTCCTGCTTCCCCTCACTCTGACTGTTGCACAGTCCTCCAGACTTACAGTGATGGTAACATTTGGAGTCCTTTCCATGCATATTTTTGCGCTTTTAATGAGTGGATGTTTATTATTGAATAAATACATGCCTTGTTACATGTCAAGGAATACTTGGTTAAAATTAGGATTTCCTACGTAGTTTCTTTTGTAGCTGCTGGTAAATACTATATTGTTCATCCAAAATAGAGCTTGCACAACCTATAATATTTATTCTAGTTCCCCTTTGCAAAAATTCTGCTTTGTCTCCTTTTTGCTTTGAAAGGAATATTGAGTGAAAATAAGTATGTGTAAGAGCAGAGAAAACTTAGGGAGCACTGATAAATACAGCAACTAAGATAAGGACAAACTACAGCACTGAAGCTATATTACAACAAAGAACTTAACTGGGCTATTTGAGCACAGAAAATCTCCTGGTCTTCAAATAATTACTAACCAGGCTGTGTCTGCGTAACCTTTCCTTTAGTTACAGGACCACCCACATAGTTGTATATGGTTAACTGTTTTTTTCTGGATAGGTGCCAATGTTACGCTTGAGCTTTAAAAGAAAATGTGTGAGTATAATTGGTATGACCTAGCTATTCTAGCGGGCCTCAGAACAGCTCATTTTAATAACAGGTTGTGATGAGCAACTCAGACTTCTTCATTTTCATAATTTTGGCCTAAATTTTCCAGACTAGGTATCTTCTTTAATTTTACCCAGAACTCCAAGAAAAAGGCTGGGGAAATTTTGCATTTATTTGAAAGTAACTGTATGAAATAAAGCATTCTAACATTTTCAAATACATTTGCATAGCTTCTTCAGTCTTCTCTGGTAAATTTTATTGGTAAAAATGTAAGGCAAAAGTCATAACTTGACCAATAGTCTATCCATTTTAAAGAATGATTTTTAAAAGTGGGTATCCTTTATTTTCTAGGTAACTGGTGTAGACATCTGGGGTTTGTATTAAATTAGTATACAGATTTCAAGCACTTATTTTAAGAAGTGGAAGTTCATGGATAGTAGCAATATTCATTTTTTTTTCCTTTGTTTCCAGGCCAAAACCCATGTCCTTGATATAGATCAACGGCTGCAAGGTGTCATTAAGACTAGAAACAGAATAAAAGGATTACCCTTATCTATTGAAGGGCATGTTCATTACCTTATTCAAGAAGCAAGTGATGACAACCTGCTCTGCCAGATGTATATGGGCTGGGCTCCATATATGTGAAATTTGTTCACTTTGGAACGGTACCATTCACAAGTGATGTAGCTATAATATTCTTGAGAAGGTATTAATCAGAGATAACTGGTCACTTCTGTTGATTTCTGACTGTAAGCAGCAGAACACTCTTATGATCAATCCGAAATCTATGTAAAATATACAATACACTTGCAAGTATGTTATGAATACACTTGCAGATGTGCAAGGTGTTACGACTTGTTTTGTATAAATATGGAAGCCAGTACATAGGAACTGCTTAAAAATTAGACTGTGCAAGCCTCTGCAAGTTTCTTATGTACGTACCTACTCTGATTATATGAAAAATTTTCGCAGTGTTGAAAGAATGCGCTCTATAAAGTACTGTATATTTTTGTAAAGTTTTTTTCTCGTTCAGCTTACTTGTAGATTAGAAAATCTGACATTAAAGTTTTATACTGATATGATGTAAAGTGGTTCTTTCAACTTTTTCTACTCATAGTTCAGAAAGGCTTTCTAAAAATAATGAGTATTTCTCTTCAGCAGTACACCTTGAATTTTGGTTTCCTTTGACTTTCTTCCATAGGGCCTGGCTAAGTCTAGAAAAGCATTTGGGATCTTAAATCTCACCGTGAAGAAACCGGTAAAGTGTTACCATGTTCTGAAACGGTTTCCTTAGCCCTTGCCTGCTGTGCTAGGAAACCCTTGTGAAGGAAATTACACAAAGCTGTGAGTTAGAGGACCCTGGCAGTATGTCTGTGACACCAGTGCAGCAGGCAGGGTATAGTATCTGTGACTTTAACATACGTTCAGGCTCCCAAGACTTCTGGACAGGCCCTCTCTTCCCTCCTTTTTATAGTGTGGCTGCAGCAAGTGTTTTTCAGACTCCATTTCAGAAAAAGTGTTTTGACATGGACACTAAATGTGTTCAGAAGACATATTACTAATTTACAGTAATGCTTGCTTCTCTGGGCATCCAAACTGGAGGGAAATGAGGGGGGAGATAGAGAAAAATTACACTCTCTTAGGGTATCATTAGAATTTTTGTACAGTATTTTTTGTTCCTGCTGTTCTGAGAGACAAACAATGCCATTAGTTTTTGATCACAGTAATGCTGTCGTGAGACTCAAGTTTAATTCAGCTGAAATCCAGACACTTCAGGGATTAAATTTAAAAAATGGGTTTACAACTGGTTAGAGTGGTTTTGTTTCTCTGGGGAACTAGTGGGTAGTGTTCCCAGAGCGTTGTCGCTGCCTCATAAACCTGAAGATTTTTCCAAGTAAGATCTTTGGAACCTACTACGATCTTTTCAGTTGTGGTGTGTGAGTGTGCTGGGGTTATGTTACCTTTCGCAGGCTTTGTCGTTATACCACAGAGCGAAGAGAACCTTACAGCGAACTGCCGCGCCAGGAGCCGCTCAGGGAGTTGCCGACTTCCATCACGCGGGGACTAGACCTGCTACCCACAGCAGGCCGGGCCTGAGGGCACTGACGCGCGTCGTGGGAGCTCCGGTGCGGGCTGGTAGGAGAAGGGGCGAGAGGCGATGCTTCACGCGTTTAACAGCAACGACGGTGGAAGCTCTCCCCGGCCGCCTGACGGGGGACGAAGCGGGCGGGGCGACCGGTACTCCTGAA